TGTTAGAGTATGTACATGTGTGATATGTGAGCAGTTTTTTACTTGTCTGTTTTTTCTGTGGGTATCTGAGGGGCAGTCTGTATATACATATGTGTGGCAGGGTTCAAGTGCATGTGAGCATGCTGGCATATGTAAGTGACTGAGTGTTAACATGTGTAACCATGTTTGTATATGTGATGACATAGGTATGCCACTGTTTTCTTGCACCTGTGTTGCAAGAGTTTAAATACGTGAGAGGATTTGAATCATCAGGTACACTGGGACAAAGGGTATATATGAGTCTACATGTGAGTGACAATGAGTAGGTTTGTGTGTGTGTATCTGTCACAATTTGAAAGTTTGTGTGTATGTTAAGGGAGTTATAATTATGGGTTTGTGGGCCACTGCACGTGTGTGTGTGTCTGAGTGTGTCTGCATATAGCAATTCTCAGCCTTCTCATACCCAACACCCTCTTTTATGTAACATATTTTGTAACACCTCTTTACTATTTAGACATGAAGTTCTTAGATAATACAATCTCTCTGCATATATAATTTCAAAAGAAAATTCATATAGTATGTTATACAATAGCCACATTATATTAACTCTAATATAAATAAATAAGAAATAAAAGTGACTTATAAGAAAATAATTTGCATTTCAATATGGAAATGCTTGGGCATGACACTCCCCAGGAGATTCAGTGAATTAGAAGCTTGTAACATCTTATAATGAGTAAACGTGGATTTAGGAGAAGGGGAAAAATCAGAAGCTGCCCCTTGTACGAAGTGCAGGCAAATGACAGGCAAAGGCCTAGGGGTGAGAGTTTCTGAAATACTGAACAGCTCAAGGAAAGTGCTCTACAAAACAAAGTACAGTCTCTAGACTTACATGGCAGCCACATTCCTGGATAATTCAGGGTATATTAAATCAAAGGAACAACTGTGTTTAACTGTGAAATAGAGTTAGATTCTAGGTTCAGTTCATTCCAAGTCCAAAATCCTATGGGATGAGGGACATATGTTGGCTGTGTGGGACTGCCCCGCAGGTCACTGAATGGCCAGCATCCTCGCCCAGGACCCCAAATGTTAGAAGGACACACCCAGCACTGTGGCAACGAAAAATGCTCCTATAAATTTCCAAAATGTCCCCTAGGGGGCAGTAATGCCTTTGTTGAGGACAAAGCACTGGTGTTTAAGCAGGGTACACTGCCTGTGTGAATGAGGACGCATACACGATATACCGATATACCGTGTGTGTGTGTGTGTGTGTGTGTGTGTGTGTGTGTGTGTGTGTATGAGTGCCGTGTGTGCACACCAGTGCCCCTGTGTGTGAGCTGGTTGCTGTCCATGGGTCTCTATAGGAGTAGCCTATGTGTTTGTGAGTGTGTGTGTAGGTGTCTGTATCTCTAAGGGCATCTGAGCACGAGCAGGTGTGTACATGTTATGTGTATGCACATGCACCCTTAGTTTTGGATGGTCCCAGGCTGTGGCTGCCAGTCTATGCTTAGAAGAACACTCTCCTCACTTTTTATATAATCACCCCAGCTTTCCAGGCAACACCAGAGTTTTGTTTGTTTGCTTCTATTATTTTATGGTTTTTTGTTTTGTTTGTTTTGTTTTAGTGTTTGTTTTTGTTTTCACTGGGACTCGGCTACACATTATCCACCTTCTCGGTCTTAGTGTGTCTCTCTGTGTCTCCCTCTGTCTCCATCTTTATTTCTGCCTCTCTCTGTCTCTGTCTCTGCCTCTGTGTCCGTCCCCTCTTTATCTGTCTCTCATTCCCCGTCCCTGTCTATTTCTCTATATCTTTCTCTCTTTATTTCCTGGCATTATCCCTTTCCTTCTATCTCTCTGTCTCTGTCTCCCTCCCTCCTTCCCTCTCTCCCTCTGTCTCTATTTTTTCTGTCTCTATTTTTTCTCTCTGTCTCTCTATTTTTCCCCTTTCTGTCTCTATTTCTCTCCCTTGTCTGTCTCTTGCACTTTCTGTTTCTGTGTGTGTGTCTCTCTCTTTTCTCTATATCTTTCTCTCTTTATTTCCTGGCATTATCCCTTTCCTTCTATCTCTCTGTCTCTGTCTCCCTCCCTCCTTCCCTCTCTCCCTCTGTCTCTATTTTTTCTGTCTCTATTTTTTCTCTCTGTCTCTCTATTTTTCCCCTTTCTGTCTCTATTTCTCTCCCTTGTCTGTCTCTTGCACTTTCTGTTTCTGTGTGTGTGTCTCTCTCTTTTTTCTCACTTTATCTCTTCTTCCTCTTTCTGTCTCTATTTCTATCTCCTCTTCTCTGTGTAAGGCTCTCTCCTTTCTCTGTGTATTTGTCCCACCCCTTCCCTCCCTCCCTCCTATGTCTCCATCTGTCTGTCTGTCTGTCTCTCTCTCTCTGCTCCTCTCTCCTTCTTTGTCACTCGTGTGTCTCTCTGACTCTGTCTTACCTTCAGTCTCTGTCTCTATCACTTCCTCCCTGCCTCTCCTCAAGGCTAAGAAGTGCGTGTGTGTGTGTGCATATTTACACACACCCAGCTATCGGCTGGTCCACAGTTGTGTGGGAGCTATGAGGCCTTGAGGGGCCGAAGGGGCCCACCAACTCCGCTTCTCTCAAGCCCCTGCCCTAGCACCTTCTCTTGGCCCACTGGCACCAGCTCTGAGACTTTGGGGTGCCATCAAAGTCTGGCCCCAGATGGCTGTGGCAGGCCATGTTGGGTTGAACTGGGAAACAGTGCAGAGGGGAGCCGTTTTCCTGGGAGGGAGGAGGTAGAAAGACATTCCACTCAAGCCCCACTTCCCCCAACTTCAAGCCCATCCCAGTCCCAGCAGGAGTTCTGAGCTTCTCCAGCTTCTGCCTTGTTGCCTCTCCTCAGAGAACTGCCCTGCTACCTTGTCACACCCCACACCCAGCCCGCACACACTAAGAGCTCTCCTGCTTCCCCCCAGGTTTTGCCTGTGCTGTCCCATTCACTCACTGCCCAGACAGCTCTCTCAGCAAATCCCACCTGGAAGCCTCCAGGCAGCCCTCCCTGAGCCACCAGCCCCTCTAGTCCCTCAACCAATTGATTTGACAGCTTTTGACTGAGGGCCTACCATGGGCTGTGCACTGCTCTTCTAGAGGAGAGTGTGTGAGTCGATAATCCCTACCCTTGTGGAGCTTTCCTTCTAATAAGGAGAGGCAGGCAATAAACCAAAAATTTAAAGTAAATATTTTATAATAACTATAAATGGAGTATAACCTTTAAAACTGTGAATCACTGTGTTGTCCATCTGTAACTTATATAATACCATACATGAACTATATATCAATATTAACTAATTAATTAAAACAACTATTTTAAAAGTAAATTATATAGTACATTAGAAGAGAGAAATTCTAGGAAGAGAAGCAAAGCAGGGCAAGAGGCACGGGGGTGCTGTTATTCCTTACCTGGATTACTGCAAGAGCCTCCTAAGTAGTCTCCCTACTTCCACCTTTGCCTCACATGATCTGTGCTCCTCACCGCAGCAAGCAGGGTCCCATTCAATCCTGAGTCATATCACATCTCGCCTCTGTTCAAAACCGTCCCACAGCTCCCATCTCACTCAGAGTAAAAGTCACAGTCCTCACCATGGCCTGTGTGATCTGGCCTCACCACCTTTCTGACCTCACCTCTTACCACTTTCCCCTCACTCACTGTGTTCCACCCTCTTCCTTGCTCTTCCTCAAATGTACCACATGCAGTCTCACCTCAGGGCCTTTGCTCTGGCTGTTCCCTCTGCCTGGACTTCTCTTCCCCCAGATGTCCACATGGCTCACTCTCTCACCTCCTTCATGTCTTTGCTCAGATGACACCTCCTCCATGAAGCCTTCCCTGTCCACCTCATCTAAAACTGCACTTCTCCCACCCTTAGCACTTCCTATCCCCCTTCCATCCTTTATTTTTATTTTTAGGAACCTATCATCATTTGACCTAGTATACTTCACCTATGTATCTTCTTTATTATCTAGAATATCAGCTTCACAAGGGCAGGGATCTTTGTCGGTTTATTTCACAGCTGTATCACCAGTGCCTGGCATGCAGTATATGCTCAATAAATAGTTTTTCAACAAATGAATACACACAAGCATACCTAAGTCTTTATATTCACATATACTCTCCACCTCACTTAAAGTAAAAACCCAAGTCCTTGTCATGGCCCACAGCCCTGCACGATCTGGCCCCAGACCCCTCTGTGAATTCACCTTCCACTGTCTCTCTTGCCACCCTGTTCCAGCCACACTGGTCTTCCCATTGTTCCATGAGCATGCTAAGCACATGCTTGGTTATGAATAAAGAAACCTATTTAATGAGTGGCTACCAGCATTAACCAAAAAATCTGTGAAACAGAATAGAAACTAGGTACATTATACATAGGATCTGTACTGTTTTGTGAAACTTTTGGTTCAGCTCTATGTACACATGCTTGTATGTGTACCAGGCTGTGATGTAAAATGTATTTCTTACTATGGGTGGCAGTTTAAAAAGTTTGAAGAACACAGACTTTTGGCTTTGCAAAGGGAGAGAAGAGCCGCATCAACATCCCCATCCCACAGACCCACCAGTGGAGGAAACAGATAACCGAGGACATCCAGAGAGACAAAGCACCTCCTTACCCAGCAAGGAGGGAGAAGGAGCAGCAGTGAGCCAGGGGCAGGGCCTGACACCAGCTGGGGAATAAGTGGGGAGGCCACCTAGACATACTAACACTGCCCTTTCTGTTTCTTCCTCACTTTTCCTTTCCACCTGTTTCTCACTGTCTCTTTTTCTTGTGTTTCTCTCCCTCCCTCCCTACGCCCTCCTTCTTTCCCCCACTTCCTGTCTCTCTGGTTCTGTCTCTCTCCCTGTCTCTTCTCACTCTTTCTCATCCCCTCCATTTCTGTCTCAATTTGTGTCCATTTTCTATCTCTTTGTTCTCTCCTTTCTCACTCTGTCTCTGTGCCCCTGTGTGTGTTTTCTCTCTGTCTCTTTCCTGCCCTCATATCTCTGTCTCTCTGTGTCTGTGTCCTCATTTGCAGGTGCAGCCCAGCAGGACAACTGATGGAGTCCCCCGGGGCCCATCGAGCACCGGACTGGCTGACCCCATAGGGTTGGGAGCAGCCCCTGCCCCTCAGTATGGCCAACACCACTGGAGAGCCCGAGGAGGTGAGCGGCGCACTGTCTCCACCATCAGCATCGGCTTACGTGAAGCTGGTGCTGCTGGGACTGATCATGTGCGTGAGCCTGGCGGGCAATGCCATCTTGTCCCTGCTGGTGCTCAAGGAGCGTGCCCTGCACAAGGCTCCTTACTACTTTCTGCTGGACCTGTGCCTGGCTGATGGCATACGCTCTGCCGTCTGCTTCCCCTTTGTGCTGGCTTCTGTGCGCCACGGCTCCTCATGGACCTTCAGTGCGCTCAGCTGCAAGATTGTGGCCTTTATGGCTGTGCTCTTTTGCTTCCATGCGGCCTTCATGCTGTTCTGCATCAGCGTCACACGCTACATGGCCATCGCCCACCACCGCTTCTACGCCAAGCGCATGACACTCTGGACATGCACAGCTGTCATCTGCATGGCCTGGACCCTGTCTGTGGCCATGGCCTTCCCACCTGTCTTCGACGTGGGCACCTACAAGTTCATCCGTGAGGAGGACCAGTGCATCTTTGAGCATCGCTACTTCAAGGCCAATGACACGCTGGGCTTCATGCTCATGTTGGCTGTGCTCATGGCAGCCACACATGCTGTCTATGGCAAGCTGCTCCTCTTCGAGTATCGTCACCGCAAGATGAAGCCCGTGCAGATGGTGCCAGCCATCAGCCAGAACTGGACATTCCACGGTCCTGGGGCCACCGGCCAGGCTGCTGCCAACTGGATCGCTGGCTTTGGCCGTGGGCCCATGCCACCAACCCTGCTGGGTATCCGGCAGAATGGGCATGCAGCCAGCCGGCGGCTGCTGGGCATGGACGAGGTCAAGGGTGAAAAGCAGCTGGGCCGTATGTTCTACGCAATCACACTGCTCTTCCTGCTACTCTGGTCACCCTACATTGTGGCCTGCTACTGGCGAGTGTTTGTGAAAGCCTGTGCCGTGCCCCACCGTTACCTGGCCACCGCTGTTTGGATGAGCTTCGCCCAGGCTGCCGTCAACCCGATCGTCTGCTTCCTGCTCAACAAGGACCTCAAGAAGTGCCTGAGGACTCACGCCCCCTGCTGGGGCACAGGAGATGCCCCGGCGCCTAGAGAACCCTACTGTGTCATGTGAAGCAGGCTGGTAGGCAGACAGGCAGGGAGAAAGTCAGGGCCACCATGATGGGGCCAACAGAAGGGGAGAGGTGGGGCTCCATAACAGGAGCCTTTCTTTCTGAGCTCCAGCCCCAGCCCCTCGAACCACCTGGAATCTAGGCACCTTTGCCAGCACCTCCCCAGGGTTGGGGACTGGGTGGGGGACTAGGAAAGAGGCATTTCTAGTTCTGTGGGGCCCGTCTCCGCCACCTCCTTCTCCACTTCTACAATCTCTCTCTCTCTCTCTCTCTCTCTCTCTCTCTCTCTCTCTCTCTCTCTCTCACACACACACACACACACACACACAGAAGTGACAATTCAGAAAAAAAAACTGAAAATGCAGGTTTTTCTACTCACAGCTGAGGAGACAAGGCTTTCTTGCTTTAATGTCTCTCCTCTGACATTGTCCAGAAGGGGGAAATTTGTCCTGTAAAATAGACTTCCAGAGCCCTTATTGTCCCCTCTGCTCCCACGTACCCTCCCCTTCCAAGTCCTTTAGCAAGGCCTGGATGTTTAGAGAGAAATTGATCTGCTGACAAGAGGGACCGAAGGGGCTGCTGGGTTCCCAGGGAGCAAGGAATGTTTAATTGCTATGTTGTGTGCAATGTTGTTTTAGGCTAACCCTGGTCCCAAGCCCGGTCTTTTCTCCATCCCCACCATGTCCAGACCTCCCAAGTGTTTCTTGAGCATCTGTTTGAGAAGCGAGGAGGGGAGGGAGAAGGGCTTCTGGGATGGGCCCAGGTTAGGTGAAGAGCAGGATGTGAGTACACGCCTTGAGCTGAAGAGACCCCAGCTTGGCTGCATTCTCTCAAGCTGCCAACTGGATCCCCGTGCCCCAACTCTTCTTCTTGAGGATGGAAATCCACTCCAACCCCACCGGGGTTGATGTGGGTGCCATACAGGCAGGAGCAGCCCCCCACCCCATGGAAGTGTAGGGAGAAAGTCAAACTCTCCAGAATGGCTGGATCCCAAAGGCTGGGGTCAGAGTGGAATTCAACCCCAGAATTGTCTCCTGAGTTCATGATACTCTCCTGAAGATGAAAATTCTTTGAGGGACTTGGTAAGTCATAGTGGTATAAACTCCAGGGCACTGTGGACTTGAGTCCATTCCTCTCTGGCCTCTTTTTGTCCCCCTCAAGCCTCAGGAGCCTCAAGCCCCTCTGTGGTAACACTTGGCCTTCTGGGCCCTCAGCCCCCAACTTCCTTGCACTGAACAGCCCTTTCCCTCTTCCTCCCTCCACCATTACTTCCACCCCAAGTGGAGCAGACTGCAGCCAGAATCCCCAGGTGGGAGATCCCAAGCCTCCTTCCCAGGACAGAGTCCACTCTGGGCTCCCATCAAGTCTTATGGACTGGTGAGCCAAACTGGCATTCTTTGCCTGGTCTTGCCCAAGTTCTCTGTCCCCCTCTCATCTCCTGGGAGAGCAGGAGATCTGTATTTATCCACCTCCTTTCCCTTCCCTACAGAAGCCCTTGTCCTACACTCCCTCCCTACTCCAAGACAGCTCCAGAACTGGGCAAACCTTGACCCAAGAGGGATGGAGAAGGCACTCTAGGCAGGAGAGACACTAATGAGCCTGGCTATGGAGTGGCCTTGGAAAGGCAGGCCAGAGTGGCTGAGAGGCTGGGGGTGGGGGGTACCTGTTCTCTCAGTGATAGTGATGGGGGTGCCTTTCAGGGGGTGGGTTGGGGCACCACAGGGGTGGGGGTAGATAGGGTACATTCAGGAGGATTTGCCTCCATTTCCTTTTTCTAACTGCGTGGATTCACCATTGGATTTTGTAAATGGAAAACAAATGAACAATGCTATATTGGATGTTTTCTCTTTCTGTGTGTGTGTGTGTGTGTGTGTGTGTGTGTGTGTGTGTGTGTGTCCTGTCTGTGTGACTACATGTGGGGAGGTATGGTCAAGTGAGACAGTGTATCTGCGTGACTTTGTTGGGGGGCACTCCTGCCTGGGGCACACATGTGAGCAAATGCCTGTATGTGGAGACATATACAGTGCACGCGTGCACACATGTACACATATGCACCTAATTGAGAGGGGACAAAATAGAGTATGTGCCTGCAGCAAGAAGTAGAGTGTTCGGAGAGATGGAACTTGAAAACGGTACGTATGTATGTAGCAAGAGGGTAGACTCCCATCTCATAAGATCTTCCTCCCTTGGCCCAGGCTCTGAACATGGGCGACAGGATACTTGAGTACCCCATCTCTTTCCAAAGGCTGGAGCCCCCAGGTACCACTCCCAACTCCTGTATCAGTCTCCTTTCAAAAAGCCAGATAAGGTGTTCCTGAAAGTGGACCACCATGGAGAATGGAGACTGGGAATTGGGGATCAAACTATTGGGGTTAGGTAATGCCCGCCCCCCAACACACAAAATAATGGCTTCTGGAGGGACTGCTCAGTCTGGGATAGGAGCCCTTCGGAAGGGTCCACTATATACAGCTCGGATTTTGGTAAGCTTTGATTAAATTCAGAGGGAGGGATGTCACAGGGGAAAAAAAAAAAAGCCTGGGAGTCTCCCCAGCCAGCCTGTTCCCTGGGCATTCAATTACTTTACTCTCTCAGATGCACAGAATTGAGTTGACCATACTCCTCAGTTCTTGGCACACTATATCATCATTGGTTCATATGAGGCCCTTATATTTTTTATTTCGTTTTGTTTTGTCCCCTTCATCACCCATCCCTGATCCCATGTCCCCTTCCACATAGGCACCCACTCTCGTGTATTTAACGTACCGTCCTTCCAATCCACCGTTCATGTGTTTATTTACATATATGTGTATCTGTGAAAATGTATGGTATTGTTATGTGTTTTAATTTACATAAACAGTATTGTACTATAAATCTTGTTCTGTTTCTTTCTTCACTCAACATTCTGTTTTTGAGAGATCCAGCCATGTTGCCGTATGTAGACCTAATTCATTCTAGTGGTCCATCTTATACATGTATCACATTTTTCTTATTCATTCCCCTGGGTGATGGGTCTCTAGGTTGCCTCCAGTCCTCTGCTACCACAAGCCTGCAATGGGCAGTTTCCTACATGTCTTTTTAGGGACTCCTTATTTAGAGGAGAGGAAACAAGCTCAGAGAGAGGCAGTGATTTGGTTAGGGTTTAAGTGAGGAGCAGATGCTTGACGCGAATCCCACACCTAAGCCAGAACCCCACCACCATGCCTCACGAGAGACCATCCAGCTGGCTCCCCAAAATCTAAAATAGAACTTAAAACAGCATACACTGAGGAAATGGAAAGGAAAGGATGGGAAGGAGAAGTATGGAGTCGATGAACACATAGAAAGTCCTAGAAAGATCTAGCAGATGAACTGAATCACAATCATTTTCATGACGCAGAGGAAGTTACTTTTTTTGGTGCGATTATTATTGCTAGAGCTATTTTGCAGAAATGGGAAACGCCACGTCAAAACCTGGCCCCAAACCAAAGACCCTCGATTTCTAAACCCCAAGCTCCTTGAGTGCCCCCTGAGCCGCGAGGAGCCGCCTCCGAGTTCGCCGCCGCAGGGGCGAAAGCCAGGGCTGGGGCAGGGGCAGATTTAAGAAGTGCGTAGTTGCTGACGGGGAGGGGAGAGGAGGGGGAGAACGACAGCGAGGCTCTCGAGTCTATCTGAGCACATCCTGCTCACTGCTTGCGCTTGTTTTTTGTTTTGCGTTTGGGTCTTCAGAACCACTGGTACTTATCCCATTGGATAAGACGTCGGCAGGGTGAGGTAGAGGGTCTTCTTCCCTTCAGCTCTCCCCGAGGCCAATAGTCCTGCACCGTCTCTAAGGTCGCTAAGGGAGGTGGCCCGGTGACTGGCGGGCCCGAGGATAGCCAATGGGAAAGTGATGAGGTGCGGTGTTGGCAAGCAGATTGCGTGCGAGCGGGCAGGGGGCGGGGGGCCGCGAGAGCAGCCGCGGCGGCTGGCAGCCAATGGAGAGGCGGGATGGCCCCTGGCGTCAGCGAGGGGGCGGGGTCTGGCGCTTGGCGCGGAGGGAGTAGGGCAGGCGCTGTGGGAGGGAGCGCCAGAGCGAGGCTGAGAGCAGAGCTCGTCGCGTGAGGCGCGGCTCTGCTTCAGGTGTGACAGGCAGCGGCGGCCTGGCTGAGAGCGAAGGGGCGAGCGCGAGCCCCTGAGCTGTGCGAACGCGGTCACGATGGACGGCCCGGATGAGGGGCCTCCGGCCAAGGCCCGCCGCCTCAGTAGCTCTGAGACCCCTCAGAGCGAGCTGCCGCCGCCGCCGCCGCCACCGCCGCCGCCGCCGCCTCCACCTCTCTTGCGCCTGCCCCTGCCTCCACCTCAGCAGCGCCCGAGGCTCCGGGAGGAAACCGAGGCGGCACAGGTGCTGGCTGACATGAGGGGGGTGGGACTGGGCCCCGCTCTGCCCCCGCCGCCGCCCTATGTCATTCTGGAGGAGGGGGGGATCCGCGCGTACTTCACCCTGGGGGCTGGGGGTCCCGGCTGGGAGCCCGCGATCGAGTCAGGGTACGGGGAGGCGCCCCCTCCCACGGAGAGCCTGGAAACGCTTTCTCCCTCGGAGGTTTCTGGGGGAAGCCTGGAGATTGACTTCCAGGTGACGGAGCCCAGCAGCTTTGCAGGAGAGAAGGCCCTAGAAACCTGTAGCGCAGGGGGGCGGGGGTACCAGAGGTTAGCCGGTCCAAGGGGGAGGGAAGAGACCGTCATCATCGTGGAAGACGACGACGAGGATGAAATGGAAAGTGTGAGGAAGAGGAGGAGGAGGAGGAAGAGGAAGCCCAGGAAGGTGAAGAGGGAAAGCCGAGAGAAGAATGCCGAGAAGATAGAGTGCATCCTGCAGGCGCTGGAAAACATTCAGCTGGACCTGGAGGCGGTGAATATCAAGGCGGGCAAGGCCTTCCTCCGTCTCAAGCGCAAGTTCATCCAGATGCGAAGACCCTTCCTGGAGCGCAGAGATCTCATCATCCAGCATATCCCAGGCTTCTGGGTCAAAGCAGTATCCTTGTCATCTATATTCATGGGCCAGGAGCCCATGACCAGAAATGGGGGGCGGTGGGGGGGAGGGACAGGCTGGGTGAAAGGGTGTGGGGGCGGGCCCCTATTGGAAGAATGACGAGGTCTGGTGGAGGAGGGATGGAAGGAGTGTGGCAAAACATCAGAGAAGCTGGACTGGAGATGGTGAAGGGGGGAGGGGGGCAACACAGCATAAAAATTGGACCACAGATGGGAAAGGGGGAGAGGAGGAGCATAGCATAAAAGAAAATGGATCACAGACGGTGAAAGGGGGAGGATAGTAGAGGGGCACACAGCAGAAAAATTGGACCAGAGATGGTGAAAGGAGGAGGGGAGGGTCACACAGAAGATAAACTGACTCAGAGACAGTGAAGAGGGAGGAGAAGGGCACACAGCAGAGAAATGGCCCAGAAAGGGTGCCCAAGTCACACATGGCTGTGCAAGCCTAGGTCTCTGCTTAGATACTAGGCAAACCCCAATTCTGGCTGGAGAGGAGGGGGCTAGTAAGGGACTGGAGCCCTGAAGGATCAGGAGAAGGAGTAGCTAGGAATGGAGAGAAAGGAGTTAAATGAAGGAAAGGGAAAAATAACAAGAATTCACTATTGGTGATAAGCTTATCTCTAGGGGACCATGCAACATGTTAGGAACACATGGATTTAACATCCTAATAGAATTATATGGACACAGACCCTTGGCACTCTCAGTATCACATGATCACAGGCGCTCAGTACCCAGGCACAGTATTATGTGGCCACAGGTCCTCAGTACATAGACCATAACATCACCTGGAGACAAACCCTCAGACTCAGATACTCAACATCATGTGGACACAGACCCATAACACCCAAATATATATAACATCGTGTGATGACAGGCCCTCAGCAACCAGATATAGCACCATTTGCACATGGGCCTTCAGCCCCCAGACACACAATGTCTGGTGAACACAAGCCCTCAGCACCCAGAGACACAACATCACTTGGACATAGACTCCCAGCACGCAAACACACGGCAAATATGAACCATGGCAAGGCCACTTAATACAGAGGTTTGACATTTTATAAACATAGGCTCTTACCACACAGACAGTATCATGGGAATAAAAGTATGGGTCATGTCCCATTGACCACAAAAGGAATTCTCCTTCTCCAGCCTCTCTTTTGTTCAGCCCTGCCTAGCCCTGACTGGCCTTCCTTCCCTCCTTCTCATTGAACAGTCACTCCTTGACCTAAACTGCTCCCTCCATCAGTTCCTCAACCACCCCAAAATTTCAATCTTGATCAACCAACGTGATGAAGACATTTTCCGCTACTTGACCAATCTGCAGGTCAGGCCAAAGAGATATCTTTTCTACCAGGACCGGGCAAGGAATCTGGTCCTTGGAGGTGAGGGGAGGTTGGGTGGGAGGGGTCACGGTGTGGTGGGAATTCCACCATTACCCCCACCCTGAGCAGGTACAGGATCTCAGACATATCTCCATGGGCTACAAAATGAAGCTGTACTTCCAGACAAACCCCTACTTCACAAATATGGTGATCGTCAAGGAGTTCCAGCGCAGCCGCTCGGGTAAGAGGCAGTCCCAGAGCAAATTCATGCCCCCCGCCCCATCTATCCTTGTCCAGCACCCTCTCCATAGCCTCCTTTCCCCCCAGGCCGGCTGGTGTCTCACTCCACCCCAATTCGCTGGCACCGGGGCCAGGAACCTCAGGCCCACAGGCACAGGAACCAGGATGCCAGCCACAGCTTCTTCAGCTGGTTCTCAAACCATAGCCTCCCAGAGGCTGACAGGATTGCTGAGGTGGGGCCCCTCCTGGCATTGCCAGGGAAGGCCTTGCTAGCTTGCCCCTGGGTGCGTGGGGTATTGGGAGTAGGCTCTGTGACATGTACTCATAGCTTTGTTCTCCCTTCCCCCGTCTCTTTCAACAGATTATCAAGAATGACCTGTGGGTTAACCCTGTGCGTTACTACATGATGGGAGAAGGGGGCTACAGGGCAAGCAGAAAGAAGCAAGAAAAGGAAGAAAGGTGATGGTGGGGGTTGGTGGCTGAGAGGTGGTTTGTTAGGGGTGGGGCAAAGACTAGGCTAGTGTCACACAGTATTTGTAGAGCCAAAAGGGACCTTTGAGATAATCCAGTCCACTATGTTTTACAAGTGGGGAGTGATGCCCAGAAATGGGGTGTGATTGGCCTGAGGTTATGTAGTCAGGGGCAGAAATAGGACTTTCCCCACCTAGCCTCGTCCCTGGGAACCCCTGTAGCCTACTGCCTCCCCAGTTGCTTACCACCTTTCAGTGTCTGCTCTGGGAACACCACCTCCCACCAACCCTATACTCAACCCCAGGCTTCCCCACAGTAAAAACAGGGATGAATATGAGGTGGTGATCGTGGAAGACTCCGATGACTATCACATCATGGAAGACATTACTGGAGAGACCTCAGACAGTGATGGTATCACCGACAATGAGACCATTCATGACATCAAGATCTCTGACTTCATGGAGACCACTGACTGCTTCGAGACCACTGACAACGAGATAACTGACATCAGCGAGAGCCTCTGTGACAGCGAGTGCCCTGACCACAATGGGAGCATTGACAGTGAGACCACTGACAATGAGAGCCCCAATGACAACGAAACCACTGATAACAATGAGAGTGCTGATGACAACGAGACCACTGACAACAATGAGAGTACCGATGACAACAATGAGAATCCTGATGACAACAACGAGAACCCCGATGACAACAATGAGAACCCTGAAGACAACAACACTGATGACAATGAAGAGAACCCTGATGACAACGAAGAGAACACTGATGATAACGATGAGAACGCTGATGGTGACGAGAACACCAATGGTGATG